CTAGACTCATACCGCGCAACGCGCGCACTTTGAGGTTGTTGCCATGATGGAATTGGCAATGAGAAGGCAGAGGCTGACGGAACAGATGCCATCAGCGGTTAAGAGATGAGTAATCTATGGTCTGAATGTTTGAGCCACTATCCATGGATGCATTGGTCATATGTCCAAGAGTAATTATCCATATGCTTGATTGACTTTAATCGTAGCTCTTGCTCTAGTTGTATCGCAAAGCAGGAACGCGGTTCCGTTGTAGAGTTTGGAATATAGTATCCTGAGGCACCAAGGCATCACTAGAGCTAAACCTCAGGCTCCACTAGGTGTAGTGATTGGCAATCAAATATTCACCGCTTACTTCATTAGACAGGGCTTGTCTACTAGTACTTAGTACTAGTACTTAGTAGTAGGTACTAGTAGTAGATGGCTCGACCAGTTTAATATGGACGAGAGCCTGGTAACTACTCGGTAGTTGGTACGTTATTAGTACTACTCGTCCGGATTAATTTGGAGATGTTGTTGGAATAACGTATTTACGTACCGGAAGTTTTCGCACATTGTATGGTATGGACGGATTTGAGCTTCATCTTACCTTGGCCCTACCTGCTATCATGAATCCAATAGAGAATAGGTCCAAGAGATAGCCTATTTTTGGTTTATGCAGATGAAGCGCTTTCGGTCAAGAAACAATCATGTATGTACGTTCCCGGCAAGCATGTATTGTACTGTAACACAACTGTCACCCTACTCCGAGCACTCCGTATTAGGATGCCAATCCCTCAGCCAAGAAAGTCACGAGCTAGCCTCGACCCGCCTTAACCAAAGCGCCCTGACTTGAAGACCACCACTCCAATTTAGGCGCGGCCGTTATCAATTGCCATCATCATCATCATCAGCATCAGCATCACTACCACTACCACCACCACCACCACCATCATCATCCTTCCACCTCCCTCGTTCCTGCCGTCTCCTTCGTTTTTAATCCACAATATCGCATATAACATTACGTTTAAGTAGTGACCTCCGGCCGACCACCTGGCACTACAACGTACCTACCGTTTCTATTCTTGAATTCTCTCCCTGATGGTCTAATTTCCATAGCCGACTTTGTATCGACAGTCCTTTCGCAGTTCCATTATATATTCCCATGTTTTCTGCCTAAGCCGTCCAATGGTATGTGGTATGTGGCTTTGTTGAATTAATACGGTAGTTGGAACTCCCAGCACCGGAAGTCCACGGTGCTCAGGTGCTGCCGAGGATTCCGCGAATATGTTTGCCTTAACAATCATTTGACCTTCCATGTATCCCTGCTCCTATGTCACTATCTCCCTATCTCTCGAGCATGTTGCCCCTTAGCAGTGAATTCGGTATTTTTTGTCTTACTAATGTTGAATTGTGTCTCTTTAGTCATCAAATGCCGATGGCAATACTAGGCGGTTTATAAATCCCAGCGCCACGTCCTGACCATTCATTTTGTTACTATGGGACAATCTTCCTCTACGCATCAACGCCACAACAGTCCTTCGAACCGTCTGTCATTCATACACCGTGGTCATCGCGATAGGGATAGGGATAGGGATAGGGATATGAACAACGATCACAACTTGGAACAACACGGGGCGTTTAGGCCCCAACGAGGGGCGGATAATGGCGAGATGCTACCGGATCAAGCCAGCTCAGGTGGGGAGACATGGCGACCGGCCGAGGAGCAATCGGCCGGTATAGGACATATGGGAAGCATTCAAGAAGAAAATGGGCCACAGTATGAACCGACTCAGCGGGAGTATCGGTCTGCGATCTTCGCCCGCATGGCAGCAAGAAGGCAATCCACGATGTCAAGGCTGGGATCCAGGATTCTGCCAAACTCAGTTATTCGTGGCCTTCTTAGCAGCGAAGAAGAAACCCCTGCTGAGGGCCACGCTCATCGACACGGAATCGTATCGAGATCGATACCAAGATCAGAAGTCACTCATAGCAGCAGTCGTTTTAGTCCGTTTAGCTCGCTTAGCGCAAGAGGTATCTCTCGACGACGCTCTGCCCGTGGTCCCTATTTCATTCCACGTAGTGATCCGGGGCTGCTTTCGGATGCTCCCCATTCTCCTACTTTTTTCGACCCTACCTCAGATCATACACCGGACACAACCAGGAGTTCTTGGCGTCGAAGTGCTCGGTTGCATCGCGTTAGAAATTCACTTTCGGGTCCGATCACGCAGATGTTCGGCCAACCGTCGACAAACATGTCTGATCAGAACATTGGAGATATACGCCATTCGATGGGACCAATACCTGGCGACCCTCCAGGTACATTCCTCCCTCAACCAGGGCCAATGACTAGTGAGATGGACTTTGATGAGCCCCATGAACTCGATTCCGTGGAGCCTGCTATAGGAAACACCCGCCCCGTCTCTCCGATGTCTTTGCAGTCCGGACAAAGCCAAACTGGCTTGCGGCACTTCCCAAATCTGTTGCGAGCACGCCCATCCAGAGTTTTGCGGCGAGAGGAGCAGACACCGCTCTCGCGTGTCCTTCAACTGGCGGCTGCTGCCATTGCTGCCCAACTTTCTGGCACAACTGGCCCTGTAATGCCTAATATTCAAGCCCTTGGCAACGAAGGTCTCGACAATTCGCTAGAAAACTTTATACAGAGTTTACAGCACGCTACCTCCGCACAGACAGCAGGTGATAGTCAAGCCGCTTCTGGGGACAATGGAGCGCCAACTCCGGTCAATTTCTTACGGGTATTCCGATTCGCAAATTCAGATGGCGTAAGGCCCTCAGCAACTTCAGATCGATCTGCAACAGCCACGAATGCTCCAGAGAGTGGCGCAGATGGGATGGATGCTGAGAACCCCACGGATGGACCTGAAGGACGTACTGTTACCCTGGTTGTTGTGGGAGTAAGGTCTGTCCCGTCAGGTAATAATCCCGGCAATGACCAGCAGAATGCTGGCCCTGGACCGGGCTTGGATACGTTACTCCGTCTACCGTTCTTGTCACCAGGAAGTCTACCACGGAATTCAGAAAACGGTCCTAACCTCACGTCACGCGCTGAAGGACGGCCAAGATTCATACCTAGTCGGCATCAAACTGGAGGTCCTAGTACTACACCTAATAATGAAGATATTCCCCTGCAACTCGGACATCGGAGTCCGTCAAGGAGGCTATCTGACACTGGGAGTCGTGGACCTCTCTCATCTCTTCCTTCCATCATCTCTGAAACCCCTCCTGGCCCTCACCCTCCACCATCGACGCCTGCTGACCCTGGGCTTTCAGCCGTGTCGTCGGGTGCTTCAACTCCAAGCCGAAGACCATCTTCTGCATCGGTGATGTCCCCAAGCACCTTGCCGCAACTGAATGAGCACCGGATTATGCAGCCTCCAGCTGAACCTGCTGATGGTAATATTCCATTCAACATATCTCGTCAGCGACGTCGTAGTGATTCTGAGTATGTCCGCCATCGTGACCTAGGCGCTGGTGCGGTCCGGCGCAATGGTGTTGTCGAACCGGACAATGCTCCTTCTCCTGCAGGTAGAAGCTGGTTGATCTATGTTGTGGGAACAAACCTTTCCGAAAATCACCCTGCGTTTGCGACACCAAGCCTCTTCACCGATGTAAGGATGACATGTTCCTCCCTTTGCCCATAGAACCCAAGCTAACCTAAATATTAGAACCCAACTTATGAAGACATGATTCTACTCTCGTCTCTCCTTGGTCCAGTGAAGCCCCCAGTTGCCACACAGGAGGACCTCACTTCGGCTGGTGGAGTATACCGTATTGTAGAATATAGTGGCTCTCTTGTTGCGGAAGCCTGGGTGGTGCTGGCGCCATTCAAATTCCCGACGGGGATCGATGCCTGATCTGCCTTAGCGATTACGAAGCTTCTGAAGAGCTCCGGCAATTGACCAAATGTGCGCATGTGTTCCACCGAGATTGCATAGATCAGGTTTGTCAACACATCTATTTTGGGCCTTTTCCGTGGAACTAACAGATTCTATAGTGGTTGACAACTGGTCGCAACTCTTGCCCTCTATGCAGAGGTCAGGGCGTAGCTGAGACATCGAATGCAGATCACACCCCAGAAAACACCTCATCTGCTTGATTGCCGTTTTCCTGCCTACATTGAAAATCATCTGTCCCGCTGCCACCCATTTGCATTGGTTATCAATCAAGATTTGCATGAAGCGCATATTCCATAGCTTAACGAACTTTTTTTTGTTTTCACCGAAGATATCCATTACAGCATTTTGTTTCTCTTTTCTGCATACTTCTTCCTGGAGCCTATTTATTTCCTCTGTTCTTAATTTTGGCTGTTGATATTGGGGCTGATAAAGGCAGGATGGTGAGACAACGGATAGAATGACGCGGAATTGTCTCTTAACTTTGCCAGGACACTGGGTTCATCATCTATGTCTCGTGTACCTTTTGATGTGACATAGGTATGAAATACTGAAACCTCTACTATAAGACACTAGGTCAGGAGTTGTACCATATGGTGTGGTGAGCTAGAGAACGAGACTTGAGTGGTTCGCAATTGTGAATGTGAGATTATTGTATTCAGGCATTCCGTGTTCAATCAACTAGTATAGTAGTAGTAGTAGTGGTGGTAATAGTAGTAATACGTATGAACTACAACACCTACAGTAATTCAGATGCCCCGCATGCGTCGAACTGGAAACCGAAACTGTTGCCCCTCTTCAACAAGCCGCTGACTCAGCCCACATCTTTCCTCGACCCCACCAAACTATATCTATTTATCAATCTATCGATCCTCACAGTCGTTGAGAGGAAAGATTAAGCTTATTTTCGCTACGTGGTGACTTTTCTTCCAATCGCCTGTCAGCTTCCACTGTCCACTCGACTGATATACTTTACATTATAAATCTACCTGAATCAATTGAGTTGGGCAGAAATACAATTAGCAGGAATTGTTGCCAATCGTTATCAGCCGTCCCAACAGCGCTTCCTATTCTCCGTTTCTCCAGCCACCCCTATATATTACAGCCAGGATGGATACACCGATTCGAGTCACCGTATTGATATCAGGCAATGGTTCAAACCTCCAGACCGTCATCGACCGGACAGTCGCGGGGCAGCTTCCGGTGAACATTGTCCGAGTCTTATCGAACCGCAAAGACGCATTTGGACTCGAACGTGCCCGACGTGCAAACATTCCTACACACTACCACAACCTTGTGAAATATAAGAAGCAGCACCCTGCAACACCAGAGGGTATTCAGGCGGCTCGGGAGGAATATGATGCGGAGTTGGCGAGGTTGGTCCTGGCTGATAGTCCAGACATGGTAGCTTGTCTTGGATTCATGCATGTGCTGTCTCCGAGGTTCTTGGAGCCACTGGAGACAGCGAAGGTTAAGATCATTAACCTTCACCCTGCGTTGCCGGGGGCTTTCAATGGAGCGGTATGTTCTCTTGCTGCATTCTTCTCCACTACGTCTATTAAGCTGTGGGTACCCTCCTCGAGGAATGATATGATTAACTTGCAAACCCTTGCAGCATGCAATTGAACGGGCCCATGCCGCCTGGTTAGAAGGAAAGATCGACAAGACAGGGGTAATGATTCACAAGGTGATCTCTGAGGTTGATATGGGCACCCCTATAGTTGTACGAGAGATCCCATTCGTCAAGGGAGAGGATGAAAATCTTGAACGTTTTGAAGAAAAGGTCCATGCTGTTGAATGGGGGGTTGTGATTGAAGGGGTACAGCTTACAGTCGATGAGATAAGAAAGGAAAAGAAACATGGCTCGACGGAAGCATAAACGAGGCTACTACAACAGGGTTAAGAAACAAAAAACAAAAAGAAGCGGTCTGGTCTAAGATGACTAGTCACAGCTATACTCTTGGGGGCAATAATTTATGGTTTCAATCAAGGATCGAATGATAGCAAGGGTCTGGCGGTATGGTGACGACTTAGTCTATACATCCATACGTGTTCTCTGGAAGTGCTAACGGAAAAATATTCCAGATAACGCCCTGTGATTAAAGTTTTAGCCCCCCAAAAAGAATCGAATGAAGTTATAAAATGACTCGTAGACTTTCCATCAGCGGAGATCATTTGGATTCGGCCGAAACTTGTCGAATTCAAAGTTCGAATTTACTATTCTACGGCCGTTAGTACCTAAGCTAAGATCTGTCCGACGCTGAGCCACTGTGCGACTGGCCTTGCGGACGATGGCCTTCTGGGACTTGATTATCGTGGAATGCCTGCAGATCAAGTTATACTCTATTGGGATGGCTAATGCACATCAGGCCCTATGAGTATGCCCTTACCTGGCCCGTGTCATACCATCCTGTTCATGGTTTCCACGGATTCAGCGTATCGACTAACTTCCTCACCGAAGGATAGTGGGCGGTACTATTGAACGACTCTGACAGTTTGACTCGTCCAAAATAGTGACCTAATACTTTAGTATTCCGTCCTTCTCGGAGTTAATCTCATAGTGGATTAGAGAGACTCCGCCACTCAGCCCAAAGCAATCAAGGGCCGGACTCGGGGGGATGGTTAGGCCTATGATGTGGCCTCAACGGCTGGCCTGCATCTGAGCTAAGCCAGAGCGCATCCTATGAGGATCTACCCTGGATAGGAGGGCAACACTAAGTGGTTGATGGCTGGCTGATGTCCTCCCAGCGGGTTAGTCGCCATTTCCGAGAGCTTCTCGGATAGGACAGAGATTGAGCGCCAGGAATCCATCCCCATCTGATTAAATTTTGGTTTCACAACGCCATCGGAATGAACCAGCTGCAAGCTACCGGATTTGTGATATGGGGGCCATTGGATCGTCACGCGCACGACAGTCTGGGAGCTGATCGAGTGCTCATCCCCGCTTCTCCCCATCCTTTCTCCCCTGCTTTCCTTCCAGCTAATGATATCAGTTGAGTCAATACCCGCTTCAGCAAGCCACCCAGTGCTACCTGGTTCAACTGTGCTTCAACTGTGCTGGCTTGGGCCCTCTTGGCCGAGTTAGACTCACTGGGCACTTTGTTTCAGATCGGTGGCCACGTAGATACCTGTGCGTCGTACAGTCTCATCCATGGATTGAGGCAACCCGGGATGAACCTCATTCGAAGCTGATCAGGCGTGCCATGAAGCAGACCAGATGGTAAGGTAGTCACTTAGAGTTTGGAGAGGGCCACAATCCGAGACCGTGGGCCCCCAAGACCAGAGCGGAACAGAAGTACGGTATTTTTTGACCGTCGGGAGTCGGGACATGTGCAATGTGCATACTCATAGAGGTTTGGATGTCCTTGCCATTTCAGTAGGGAGGTCTTTGGGTCCATCGCTCACGGACGTGGAATGGTCCCCGAACAATCAATTCATTTCTTCCACGGGTCCCTTTCCCCATATGGGGAGTCACCATAGGTCAGACATCAGATAGTCAAGCGCTTAGCTTGGTCCCCCAGGGAATGTGAGTGGTGGTTGTCCGGATTTTCCATCCCCAACTGGACATGCTGCTCATTTCCTTACCAAGTAGAGAGGCCAATCCTTTTCTGTCTTCCAAGTGACGGGCAGCCTACCCACAGGAGCAATTACCTCCTTTTGGGCCATATGGTCCCCATAGGTTTCCAATCCTTGGTTACGATTTTCACTGGATCCGGCAGATAACCACGTCATTCAATTCG